TAACATATTTTTTGTCAGTTCTATTTTAATAAAATGATACAGATTCATTTTTTTGTCAATAAAATCAAGTCTAAATGTTTTTATTTTTATTTTTAGACAAGCGATGAGTCACCGGATGAGATTTTCTCGGAAGATATGTTTGACACAAAAGTTATTGAATTAGATCAACTGATTGCCGGCATTGAGTGAACAAAAATCTGTGAAATTTGGTGCGTTTATTCGTTAGACAAAAAAAGCAATCACTTTATTGTACTTTATGATAATGTCGTACATCTTTGTACGTGTTTGACTTTGATCAATCGTGGCCTTGTATATCGCCACTTTTTTGCAGTAATGCTTGTTTCAAATGCCACTAAGTTTCATGTTTGGCTTATACCACAACGTTGGTACCGAGATACACTAGTTGAAGACGTTTCAGAATTTAAAAATGAGGTGGTGATTACTGTGACATCAAATGAGAACGTTGATGTATTCGAAAATGCTATGCAAGTTGACTTTTCACACTTAGAAAGTATCTGTGGAAATCATATTTTTACCAAGCCGATTAATCATAAAATGATGTGTAGGCAACAATGGGGAAAAGGGTTTGGCATGTTGAAAAAAGCGCTTAACTTAGCGATTATGACAAATAGATCAGATGAGCTTTATGAAATCCATGAAGAACTTATTAAAGAAATGGAGATGGAACTTGAAAATCAAGAGGATAATGCTACAAAAAATAATAAATTTGAGGAGCTTGCTCGCACTATAAATAATCCAATTAGTATTAGAACGAAAGGTAGACCGGGTAAAAGAATTAGGGCTTTTAATGATATGGCGAATATATTGAATAACAAGAAAGGAAAACATAAAGTATTACGAATTAATCAAGGTCAAAGTAATAACATAGAGTCTGGTATTCTTAATTTAGATACGTACTTATTTTAGATATCATAATTTGGTACGACTCATTTCCCAACAATCATTTTCCCTACTGGGTATTTACTCTACATTATGCAGGTGATAATTTAGTTTTTATTAGTTGAATACATATATTGTTAATAAATTGTCATCACATGTGATGTGGGTAAATAAACATAAGAAAATGACTGTTGTTGCATGAGTAAGCAAAATGTAAAAAATGTCTGAATGTTCATAATATATGAAATTGTAGAATTTAATATTAAAATAGAATCTGTAAGTGATACAAAAGAAGGTGGTGTGAGCAAGAGAAAATGTAAAAATTGTGAATTGAGCAGCCATAATGCACGAACGTATCCCAATATTGTAGAATGTAATAATGTTGAAACAGAGTCTGTAAGTGATACACCAGAAGCTAGTACAAGCAAGAGAAAATGCAGCAATTGCGGTTTGAAAGGTCATAACGCACGTATATGTCCAGATTTCATAGAATGTTCAGCTATCAATGTGAACGAAGTTGATGATATAAACAAGAGAAGATGTAGAATTTGTAGTTTAAGTGGCCATAATGCACGAACTTGTTCAGGTTAAATAGTAAAGGCCAATATCATGTGCAGAATTAAAGAAATATTAAGCAGCGATTATGTACTGTAAATTTAAATTTCTGCATCTACACTATTTGATTAATATATAGTAACCAGATCATATGTGTAATTTTAATATACTTTTGTATTGTTCACGTAACTGGTATATCGATTCAAATCCTGTGTATTCTGGAATTTTGTTTATTGATTTATATATAGTCCTATAAGTGTGATGCGATAAAGATCTAATATGTACGATGTAAAAGGAAAAATGATTCTGAAATCAAGCTAGATCAGGTGTATTATTACACAAACTATCAAACAAACAATATCCGAAACCTTAAATTAACAGGTTTCGATCGGGGTGTGGAATAACTTGACCCGAATATTAGAGTCTTGGCCTTTATACAGCAATTACAGAGTGTTAGATAAGTATTCACTGCTTTGGTACCTTATCTTTGTTTATGTATAGATATTTCTGTACTAATAATACTCTATTCTCTCTTTTAGATAACTGTACGTATAGTAAAACTGCTCAAGAAAATTTAGTGATAAAAGATGGGAAACAAGCATTTTTAACAAGCGAATACTTGTTAATTTTGCTGTAATATATAATTTTGCATTGGTAAAAGCCACGAGCACAACACATATATAATATGTCCAGTCATTATTGTGCATATAAAATCTAACTTTAACTCTAGCACTAGTTCTTGTGATCGAAGTATTGGAATTATTGTTGTTTTTTGTATTATGAAAGTATCACGTGAGAGTATCGTTATTATAGATAATCACATGTTTAATATATATTATATATGTCACGTGATTTCCGGAACTGGTGTTAGCACCAGTGGTATGATTTAGTAAAACTGAATTTAATATAATATAAAAGAATCTGTTTGCAAATATTTTAATTTAAAACCAAGTTTTGATATTTTATTATAGAAATAATAATAGTATTAACAATATAGCAAGCTTAAATATTAGTAATTTGTTTAGTTTTTAAAAATCATAACTCTTTTTAATAATTATTTAGTCAATACCAATTTACTAAACTACAGTTAATAATATAGAAAAGCAATAAAGTGAATATAATAATATTTCTAATTTTGTATAAGTAAACTTATTGTCAATAAAGGCTATAATATTTGACAAATTTTAAGATATAGATATATAAGAATATTAAATAGGTTTGTATCTTAAATCAAGATTTTGCTTAATAGATTCTCTTGTATATTTGATATCTAAACCAAAAGATTTTTTAAAAACAAGTATAGACACAGTAGTCTTTGATTAGAAATATTAAATAGAAGCTAAAAAACTAAACTATATAACTATAAAACTTACAAAAAGAACTATATATACTCTTATTGGTCTACTATGTTTTTTCAAAAAAATTTTTATTAAAAAAGTTAGCATCTTAACTTACTTTTTCAAAAGATTAATATATAATTTTTTAAAATAGTCAGTATTGTTTATCTTTCTAAGC